ACATTTATTGTAGCTTTATTTAAAAATATGCTGGCAAATGTGCCATTTTACTTGAAATATATTATAAACGTATTATATATACGAGAGTACGAATGTTAATTTGCATGTTACAAAGAGAAAAAATATTACAATGAACACACATGAAGAACAAAATGACTTAGTTTAACTGTACGTATTCATTGACGGTTTCATTGACGGTTTTTAATTTGCCACGCTGTGCTGCTACGATCCGTAGAAACGCATATTCGGCTTTCACCGAAGCGAATTCTGAAAGCGATTTCAGTCGCACACGTTGTGTCGCCTTGCCCAAGTCATCGAACATGTTCTTTAGTTTGGAGGTCTTTCGTGCACATTCATTATTTCAACGGTGCATTGACCGCATTATGTTCAATCTCATATCGAATTGGCTGCATGGTCACGCGCCAGTAATCAGGGGCAGATTTATTTCTTCGTTGCAAAGTGAATTTGCGAACGCTTCACGGTGAGAACATCCTTGCAATATTTTTTTATTATTTCTGCAAGAAATATTTGCAACATTAGTATATTAGAAATTGGACATCTACACTAAAAATTACTCTAATGTAATATATTTTTCTATCATTAAAGTTATTAGAAAACAAATATATATATATATATATATATATATATATACATACACATATATATATATATATATATATATATAGATAGATAGATAGATATATATAAATAGATAAAAATTTAAATTTATTCTATAAAAGCACTTAAATTGATATCATTTTATACATATTCATGAACTAAACTTTCGATTTTTAAAACAAAATAACCGCAAAATATAGCTGACATTAAAAATTTGTTGTATCGAAAATCTGGTTAAAATAACAGAAAAAAATGATTTAGTTATATAAAATCTTTTTCATTCATATAGATATAGGTTTAGTCTCAATATAAAACTATATTTGTTAGCTAAATTTATTTGCTAACCACGTAGCAAATATATCCCCCGTCCCGTGTTTTGCAATCAAATCTATATTTGGTCAAACTGTTTCTCTTCGTGTAACATTCAACGTTTTAACATGCTTCGGCGATATGACCATATCGAGATTCGTTCGTTTTTATTTGACATCCCGCACGCACGCCAAAATTTTCGTGTCATACGAGCGTGTCCTGTAAACGCATCGATGTCGAATTGCACGGCAAATACAGATAACGACTGCTGAACACAGACTGCTGACTATCATATCTGATCACTCATCAAATTTCCGACCGCAACCAGGCACATTCCTTTTTCGAACTTTATGAATGACTGACTACACCATTATGCATTTATCGGACCATTAAACCTGCTGACCCGCGATGAGCGGTCCGAGTTTCATCAATTTTTAACCATTTTGAATCGCGGTTCCTATCTACG